GACAAACAACGCCAAGAGCAATAAGCCCAAGAATTCAAAGGCCATCAAGGAGAAAAAGCAGAAGCTAATGCATTGAGAACACAAGCCTCACGGCCAGCCACCCAGGCAGAGTGGCAAGAGGAAAGAGCGTATACTTCACACCAATAACATTGAAGCAATGAGGAGGATGTGACTTGTGAGTTGTTTTATCGGTTATGTATATTAATGTCGTGCCTCACAATTTGTTTCATAATTGTGAGGCTGGTGCATGGCCGGATGCAGTAGCCCGTGAGTCGCTTCTCAAGCACTGCATGTCAAGTGCATGTCAAGTGCACAGCCAAAAGCAAGTCGAGACCGAGGGAGAGGTGTCACCGTGTCAGGTCATAATGGCGAAGCTCTCGCCTTCCGTAGTATCACATCACTCACATGTCTCTCGTGGTGCACGCCCTCCTAGCTTGCTCTACCATAGCTACCCATAGGGCCATATAGGCTTTGTGTGTGTGCACAACAAGATAAGTATAAGATGAGTAGGAGTAGCAGGTCTCCGCTGCGCCGTGATGCATGGCACGGCAGGCCCACCGCACCGTGACGGTGGCGCGTCCGACCGCCACGCCAACGGCCGCCGTGATCGCTGACTTCTCCTACGCTAGCCGCCATGCATGGCGCGCTGTAGTAATTTTGTCGCGCCATGCTAATAGGCGCGGTCAAAAGTGTTAGTTTTGAAAAAAAATAAACAGTGCCGATTTGAAAATTGTTTAAAAAAAATGTTAAAAAATAAAAAAATTCTCAATCTAGATGCAAGATGGACCCCACCATGTGATCAGGTGGTATAAGTGGCAGCGGTTAGATCGTTCGTTGGATTAAAATGGGTGAACGTCCGTCAAAATGGAATCAGGTTTGCCCTGCTGCCAACAGGAAAAAAGGAGCTAACACGTCAATCGTTTTGTGGATGCACGTGCTTCGAGATTTCAAAACTTTACTTCCGGGTCTCAAAATAAAACACGTTACGCTTTCTCGAGGAGTCAAACTCTTTAAATTTGACTTATCATATAGAAAATAATATTAATAATTGTAGCTTCAAACAAGTTGTTGATGAAACTACATTTCATGATCTATATAATGATGCTTATTACACATTACGAATATTAGTAATTTTATGCATATATTTGGTCAAACTTAAAAGGTCTAACCCTCAATAAACGAGAAGGGCATTTATTTTGGACGAGGGATTACATCTTTAATAAATCTAAATAACTTTGAAAGGGTCCACTATATTTTGTTTTAAAACACTAGTAGAAAAACAGACCTTTCATCCGAGGCTAAAATGAGCTTTAGTCCCGACATTTTTTGGCGCTCGGGACTAGAGAGACCTTTAGTCCCGGTTGGTGTCTTCAACTGGGACTAAATGTCCTCGCCTAACGGCATCAAGGCAAGACATGTTGTAGGGGATTTTAGTCCCGTTGGAGACACCAACCGGGACTAAGCAGGATTTTTACTCCCGTTGGAGCCACCAACCGGGACTAAAATCATCAATTTTAGTCCGTTGGTAACACCAACCCGGACTAGTAGTAGATTTTTAGTCCCGGTTGGTAACACCAACCGGGACTAGCAGACTTTAGTCCCGGGTTGGTAACACCAACCCGGACTAAAGGTCTCTTTGATGGGTTAGTTCAAAAGGAAGCATCCCATCCATTATTAGATGTGTTGTGTAGGTGGGGTGGTAAGCTATGCGCGAGGCAACGCATGAGGTCTTGGGTTCAAATCTCACCCGGACGCATGCGTGGGAGGCATTATTTTTTTTAAAGTGGGAGAACTTTTAGTCCTGGGTTGGAAGTTACCCATCGGGACTAAAAGGGACCTTTAGTCCTGGTTCCCGACCGGGACTCCTTTAGTCCTTGGATGCTTACTCCCGGTGGGGAACCGACTAAAGGGGTTTCCATCGGGAGTAAAGCCCGCCTCTCAGACAGTGAAAGTTTTTTTGCTAGCATATGGGTCCCATATGTCATACATAACCCACTTGTCTTTTAAGGCCTTGTCAACTTGATTTTGTTTCTTTCGACTTGTTGCATAGTGACAGTGCAATGTCTTTTGTTGTTTTTCCACTGAACCCGCTTGACGTCCAAAAGGAAGTTGTTTGCCCATTGCCGACCGTGACCACTGTCGAATTTATTCAGATCACTCCTATCACAAAGGAATGTCCAATTTATTCCATGTTCTGCCTTTTTGCTTCCAACATAGCCAAAGTCATCTTAATCTCAATGCCTATGCAAAGCGTCCTAAGTTTAAAATGAACCAAAGGTATTCTTCGGGGAACTTGCTGCTTTTTCCTAGAAAATTTGTTACCAAAGATGATAGAGCCATCGTGTCCAATTTATAGGGAAGATCTCAATTTTGGATTAATTAACTCTAAGTCCGGAGCATTCCCCAAAAGTTTATATACAATTTTGTTTAAAGTGTCCAATTTGGATGCGAAGGGGTTAGCAAAGCTGGCGGCATCATCTGCAAGATAGCAAGCATCTTATTAGATCAGCCGATTTTGGAAGGACATGTTGTAACAGACCTTGTTCAGCCACAAGTTTAACACGGACAATGGCTTGATGGGAGCACTGGAGAGAGTGGGTCTCCCAGGTGTAGACTCCGAGCATACTTAATGTTTTTCCCTAGTTGTCCATTAGTAAAAACCTTAGATGATGTTGTGCTCATTATGGAGGAGATCCAATCGTGCCATTTCCTGCTAAAATCTAGTGCAGAGATCGAAGACATATAGGATTAAAGGCTAGCTAATGGAGTCGAATGCCTGGAAATGTCAAGCTTGATGAAAAAGGGCCGATTGTTTTTTCTTGTGTGATATTTGTATCATTCTATTTGGCATAGCTGAAGTTGTCATGGATGCATCTTTCTCGATGAATGCATTCTGGGCATTAGAGACAAGGCTGTTTAGGCGCGGCCCGCCAAAAGATTTCAAACCCTTTGTAAAATATTAAAGAAACCTCCTCACCATGAATTATTTTTCAGTTATATAAGTGCTAGTTTCGATACACCCATGGGGAAATGGATGATCCAAACAAGCCCTTAAATTAACACGCTCTTTCAAGTCTGAGTTGTGCCAAGTTAAGTTCCATAGGAGCACAATGCTTCTTAGTAACAATGCGAATTCTTCATGATAGTGAGTTATCGACTATGGAAGTTGATCGGTCACTATACCTCAAGCATGTTGAAGTTCTCTAGCTAGGTGCATATGCTAGTGTCCTTCATAGACACGTCTGTGGAAATTGATCTGGTCACAATACCTGAAACCCCAGTTTACTTATCATATTTGAAACTAAAATTATTGAAGTCGTCGTAGCATATATTGCAGGTGGAAGCTCAGGGCACATTTAATTTTCATAATAAAGACCTGTTCTGGTCTTCATCACGTAATCACGTGTAAACAAATCAAACAAGTAACAAATCAGAGCTTCATTCATTCATCAGGGAGTATGAGAATTACACTCTTCAGCCAACAGGTTTACAATGCAGGCCAGAGCAAATTGCCACTCTCCCAGCCTGGTGTCACCTGTGACTTTTTGTTTTGCTAGTATATGGGCTATACGATTACAAGAGCGACTACCTTACAATAGGGTAAAATCAAGAAAACCTGAACTAAGCTCACGGATCTCCCCGCTAGACAAGGTCTTTGACTGTCCAACCCATAAGGGTACACAAGAGAAGGATGATCGTGCACGTCATTACATATGTTTGCATTGTTAGTTTTTCTGATGAAGAGGATGAGATGATTTGGCAGTTTACTGCCAAATGCACTTATTCTTCACAGTCTCTTTATAAAACTATTAATTTCAGAGACATCAAACCGGTTCATGTTTCTGCTATATTTGGAGCATTAGATACCTCCTAGGGTCCATATGTTCCTGTGGTTGCTGATTAATAATAGAGTTCTTACCCGAGATAACCTAGCTAAGAGAAGAAAAGTAGAAGATGAGACCTGTCTTTTCTGTGCTAAAAAAGAAACTAGTCAGCATTTGTTTTTTGATTGTGTTGTTGCTAAACGGTGCTGGGTTCTAATTTCTGAGATTATAGAAGTTTCAGTAGGTGAAAATATGGTTAATATAGGAAAGTTTTGGCTAAGTAGTAAAAGAAATGGCCTTTTAAACATTGTTACCTCTGTTGTTCTCTGGTCGATTTGGAAACTTAGGAATGAGCTTTATTTTTAGAGAACTGGCTGGAAAAGTATGGATGTTCTTCTCACATAATTCATGGACTCATACGGAACTGGACAGTTCTGTGTCGTGTCGACAAGAGGGAGCTGTTGAATGGCTTTTTGAGGGAAATTAAGTCTGCGGCGAAGATGGTGTTATGGCTCCCAGATATCCCTCGGGGACGGTAAAGCTTTTCAGAGGCGTAGATGCTGGCGGCCCGGGTGGAGAAGTCCACGCTGATGCTAAAGCTGTTGTGAAGTGGGCCCCGGTAATGTCTTTGGTGGAGCGCGGAATGAAGACCTTAAAGACATGTGTAATAGGCTCGGTTAGCTCGACCGTTTTGCTGTCGTTGGTTCATGCGTTAGACCTTTGTTCACGTTTGTTGTGTCTCTGTTGGTTGTGTCCTGCCGCCAACTGGAGCTGAGACCACTTTTTGATAGTTTTGTGCTGCAACAGATGTTTGGTCTTTTTCATATGAAGGGCGTCCTCAACGAGCAGTTGCAAATCGCCAGCCGATTAGAAATAAAAAAAATCCAGCCAGACGGAGTTGGCAATGTAGTCAGAGATGGTGAGCGCATGGGGGATGTGCGAGCTAGGCTAGGAGTTGGTCGCTGGTGACTGAAGTTTTCGATTCTCTCTCCATCCATGTAGACAAGTAGCTAGCGACTTGAGTATTGTTGAGGACGCCCTAATTGAAAGGCCAGGGCGTCCTTTGAACTCTAAAAACAATGTTTGCATTGTTAGCGGCATGCACCTGCTTATGTATAAATAGCTACACGGTATAATCACTACATAATAGTCAAGCATCCCCTTTCAATATCAAAGATGAACCGAGGATCAGTTTTGGCATCAACTCTGTTACTGCTGCTAGTGCCATGGCTGCCGCTTCCAGCTCTTGCCTCCAGCAAGGTAACAACATACGCTTCCTATTTCAAGCTGCAGCATCAGCAATTCAGCATGTATATGTATTTCCATTTTTTTTCTCTGATGATTCAAGAAGAGCTTATTAAGATATACTATTTGTTTTCATGTCTAATAATAACCTTGGTAATTTCAGGTCTATATTGTATACATGGGTGAGAAGGAACACGATGATCCTCCAGGGTCACCGCATCACACCACGACGTGCTTGCATCTGTTCTTGGAAGGTACTAGCTTTAGCTTGTGGTGATCATTGGAGTTGTAATTTACCAATTTGGTTATGAACAGTTATAACTTACTCACAATGGAATGGAACAGTAAGGGAGGCGGCCTTGAAGTCCATAGTTTACAGCTACAAGCACGGCTTCTGGATTCAAGCGGCGATGCTCACCGAAGCCCAAGCCGAAGAACTCTCAAGTAATCACCATCACTACAGAACCTGTAACTGACATGTACAAGTTGTCAGGCAAACATATGCACATATAGATATGCATGCATACTAATTAAGGATCTTATTGTAATCTAGGCTTGGATGGAGTCGTCTTCGTGAAGCCTGACGCTTTGTACGAGATGCAGACGACCCGGAGCTGGGACGTCGTTCTTGGTAATATCAGCGACCAACAATCAGCTCGCCTCCAGCAGAAAGCCAAATTCGGTCAAGATATCATCGTTGGCGTGGTCGATTCAGGTTTGATTAATTTGCAATATATCACATTTCATTTCTTGAAGCTAATAAGGAGCCACCAAAAACACTACCTAGCTAGGCCAATAATGATAACCTAACTTTTTTGAAAATATTAGCAGGAGCTCTGTCTTTCAATTAAGATAGGGAAGAAAAAAGTTTATGTAATGAGCAGATAGAGGGAATAATACATGACCTGTGGGCACAACAGAAGGGTGGAAGCCCACTCAGAAAAGGAAACCCTCCTAGCTAAGCGCTCTTCCTCTGTTCAATGTCGTCTTTGATTCTCGCAGCTACCTGCCACACACTGTTTCTAAAGTGTTGTCGAAACTGTGCCTGTTCTCTCTTTCCATAAGTTTCAGAATGTGTATATTACTAGGCCATTGTACCTCTTTCGATCAGCCGGAGGCGCTTTGCTAGCGTCCTTCTCCCACTAAGGCATAATCTGTAGTGGGTCTTCTTGTTGCTGCCTTGCTAGTCCAATATACCGTCAAAGTGCTCCTAAATTAGAACTTGGTTCCCAAACCGCCTCTGTGAAAGGGCAGCATATCCATAAGTGAAGACTAACTTTGCAGGCATCTGGCCTGAATCACGAAGCTTCGACGACAGTGGATACGGCCCCGTGCCCGCACGGTGGAAAGGCGAGTGCCAGACCGGCGAGGCGTTCAACGCGACGAGCTGCAACAGGAAGATCATCGGCGCGCGGTGGTACACCGGCGGCGTGGACCCCGAGCTGCTCAAGGGGGAGTTCATGTCGCCCAGGGACCACAACGGTCACGGACGCACGTGGCCTCGACGATCGCCGGCAGCCCCGTGCGGGACGTGAGCTACTACGGCAGCGGGCTCGCCGCCGGGGTGGCGCGCGGTGGCGCGCCCGCGCCCGGCTGGCCGTCTACAAGGCGTGCTGGGGCGCGACGGTCTGGTGCGGCGGTGCCGCGCTCCTGGCGGCCATAGACGACGCCACCAACGACGGCGTCGACGTGCTGTCGCTCTCGCTGGGGTTTTCAGGAGTTCGCCGGCACGCTGCACGCCGTGGCGAGGGGCGTCCCGGTGGTGTTCGCGGGCATGAACCGCGGCCCCACGCCGCAGACGGTGCGGAACACGGCGCCGTGGCTCATCACGGTGGCCGCTAGCATGATAGACCGGTCGTTCCCGACAAAGGTGGTCCTCGGGAACAACGAAGAGCTGGTGGTAAGTAATACGCGTCCACTTTCGTTATCAACAATTCATAATAGAGTAGTATAGCTAGGATGCAACTTCCATTTGGTTTACAGCTGCAATATATAATGCATGCATGCTTTGACTAATCCTATAATGAGTTAAATATACTTGCGGTCCTTAAACTTGGGGCTATGTACCAATTAGCTCTACAAACTCTCAAATTCGAAATTTGCCCTCAAGTCATGCACCGTAGATCCAAACTCATATAGCTGATGACTAGGATAAAATTTTATGAAAAAAAACACCCTACGGCTGCTGCGCACCACCATGTCTTCGTTGTCGGACCTGCTGCCGCCCATGGGTGCGCTGCCGCTGCACGCGCTCGACGTGTCGAGCAACAACCTGGTGGGGCAGTTCCGTCGGTGATCTGGGCCCACACGCCGAGCCACATGTCGCTCAACGCGAACAACAACAGCTTCCATGCTGTGATCCCATCGTTCTACGCGACCACCCCGGCGCTTGCCGTCCTGACCTCCCGATGAACCGCAGAGGCATCCCTACCGGGTTCGGCAACTGCTCGTGGTGGAACAACCTCACCGGCGAGCTCCCCAACGACATCTTCGACGTGAAACCGCTGCCGCACTGGCGCACTGCTGATCCCGTCGAGCAAGATACAAGGAGGCTTGATGCTGGGCGCATCACCAAGCTGAGCAACCACGTCTCTTTCGACCTCGGCGGTCTCAACCTCGCACTGCTCCGTGGCCCCAGCAGCCCGCGCCTGGTGCTGCTACTTCCGTATGCGCTTCTTCGTCACGGCGACGCCGGACCTGCTCGCGTCCGCCGCCTTGTCGCCCGCCGTCGCCTCCGCAGTGTTCGCCTCGATGTCTTCATCTTCCTCCTCGTAGTCGATGTCCTCGCTCTCACCGGCTCCTTCGTCATCCAGCGCCGTCGTCTGCACACCCTTGCCCTTGGCCCTCTTCTTCTCCGATGCTTGCGCGCGCTCGGCCCTAGCGTCGAAGATCCGCCTCTGCCTACATCTAGCGGTTGACTAGGATTAAATTTATATAGACTGTCTTGCTGTTGTTCGAGTATTTCAATGCCTTGTTAACAACCGCGTGTTCACATACTTGAAAAACAACCAAAATCAATAGAAAAACAAAACCGAGTGTATATAGGTGTATCAACACAATTTTTATGCCATGAGATTTTAATCTGGCAGCCTATGGAATTTTGTTGTTGCATCTAATGTCAACTTCTAGCACATATTTTTAGGAGAAAACATTTTCACGAGAACTGTATGGAGAAACTTATTGAATAAGTTATGTATTATAAGTTATATAAAAAACTAATGCTATGTCCACATGTCAACTTCTAGACATACGCTTAGGAAGAAAACATTTTCATGAGAACTTGTACGGAGAAAACTTATTCAATAAGTTAGATGGTATAAGTTATATATAAAACACATTTTACTATGTCTATGTCAACTTCTAGCATATACTTTTAGGATGAAAATATGTTCATGAGAACTGTATGGCGAAACTCATTCAAATAAGTTATGTATCATAAGTTATATAAAAAACTAATGCTATGTCCACGTGTCAACTTCTAGACATACTTTTAGGAGGAAAATATTTTCATGAGAACTTGTATGGAGAAAACTTATTTGAATAAGCTAGGTGGTATAAGTTATATATAAAAACATTTTGTTGCTATGTCTATGTCAACTTCTAGCACATACTTTTAGGATACAAACATTTTACGAGAACTTGTATAGAGAAACTTATTCAAATAATTAAGTTATGTATTATAAGTTATATAAAAAAACTAATGCTATGTCCATGTCAATTTCTAGACATACTTTTATAAGGAAAACATTTTCATAGTAACTTGTATCAAGAAACTTATTCGAATAAGTTAGGTGGTATAAGTTATATATTAAAAAAACACTTTTTGCTATGTCCGAGCACATACTTTTAGATAAAAACATTTTCACAAGAACTTGTATGGAGAAACTTATTCGAATAAGTTATGTATTAAAAGTTATAAAAAAAACTTGTTGCTATGTCCGAGCACATACTTTTAGATAAAAACATTTTCACAAAAACTTGTATAGAGAAACTTATTCGAATAAGTTATGTATTAAAAGTTATAAAAAAACTTGTGGTGTCTATGTCAACTTGTAGCATATACCCTCCCGCTATAGTACAAAGTTACCACGTCTCCATACAACCACACCAACAGCATATGTCAGCCATCTCCATACGATGCCAGCAAACCATGGTAGAACAAAACAGCCAAGCGAATAGCCTCACATCCGACGCACAAGAAATGAGGAAGGATAGGATCAGAAGGCTGAGAAATCGTGTGTTGAGACTTGAGAGCAAACAAAACAACCGGTTGACCCTTTAGCTTTTCCCTTAATTAATAATCGGAGTAGTATATGCAACTTCCATTTGATTTACAGCTGCAATAACGCATGCATTAACGCGTTGATTAATTCTGTAATTAATTAAGCGCAGGGGCAGTCTCGTTACGTGGATGCAACAGTGAAACAAGCGAGTTCCTCAATCTTGTTCATGGGTTGAGGTAATTGATTGATGATGGAGTATGATGGAATTATTGCAACTGCTTTTTTTCTGAATATATAATCCTGCTCGCATTCTGAAACTGAAAAAACTATATAAATGGGCGGCGCATGCATGCACAGATGCGACAATGCGTCGCTTGCGTCCGTGAACGCCACCGGCAAGGTGGTGCTGTGCTACGCACCGGAGGACGTGAACATCAATCCTCCAAGGCAAGGCTTGTTCAACGCTATCAGCAACGTGAAGAAGGTCGGCGCCAGGGGGCTCATCTTTGCGGGCTACTCTTCCAACGTGCTTGACAAAGCAGACAGCTGCAATGGAGTCATGCCCTGCGTGCTCGTCGACTTCGAGATCGCAAACCGGATCGCCTTTTATATGATCAACACAAGGTGAGAGCGAGCGAGCTAGTTGCCCACCGCCACAAGCGGTCATCAGTTATCAATAGCAAGCAAAGCTCGAATGTATGACTCTCGACGTCGAACGTGCCATGGTAGGACGCCGGTGGTGAGGATTTCGCCGGCAACGACCGTGGTCGGCGACTGCGCTGTCACCGAGGATCGCCTCGTTCTCGTCGAGAGGACCGAGCGTTGAGTTTCCTGCCATACTCAAGGTGAAAGGATGTCCATGTGTCATCAGAATTGGAAAAATATTTATGTAATAAGCTGCTGTTTTGACGACCGAATAATGCTTTGGTTTTGAACCAACAACAGCCTGACATCGCCGCACCCGGTGTGAGCATCTTGGCGGCAGTGCGCGACTCGTACGAGTTCATGTCCGGGACATCCATGGCCTGCCCACACGTCTCGGCCGTGGTCGCGCTGCTCAAGTCGGTTCACCCTGAGTGGTCGCCGGCCATGATCAAGTCTGCCATTGTCACCACAGGCATGTTCTCGCCAGTTCCACCATTATACGTGTACCAAGAGTTCTTTCTTCCAAAATAACGAAAGTAACTGTCAATTTAACTCTTTGCTTTGCATGCTGTTCATCAGCGTCGACGACTGATCGCTTCGGCATGCCGATCCAAGCCGAGGGACTCCCCAGGAAACCAGCAGACCTGTTCGACATGGGTGGCGGCCACATCGACCCCGACAGAGCTGCCGACCCCGGCCTAGTGTACGACGTAGACCCAGCCGAGTACACCTGATTCTTCCGCTGCACGCTGGATCCTAAGGACGACTGTTCGTCCTACATGGGGCGGCTGTACCAGCTCAACCTGCCCTCCATCGCCGTGCCGGACCTTGTGGGCTCCGTCACGGTGTCGCGCACGGTCACCAACGTCGGGCCGGCGGAGGTGACTACCGGGTGGCTGTCGAAGCTCCGGCCGGGGTCGACGTGTTCGTGGAGCCGACGGTCATGACCTTCGCCGTGGACGGCAGCAGGAACGCCACCTTCAAGGCGACTTTCACGGCGAGGCAGATGGTGCAAGGCGTTTACACATTTGGGAGCTTGGCATGGTCGGATGATGGCGGGGCTCATTCGGTTCGGATTCCAATCGCTGTTCGCTCCGTCATCCAAGATTTTGTCGCAGATGTCTCCTAAACATTCGTATCAACTACTACTACTGTATTTTGTTTGCTAAAGGTTTTATGGATGCCCACGGCATATATATATATACTGTAGCTGGTTACAAAATAATTATTCTGTAGCCACTTTTAGTTATTTATAATTACTATGTTAATTTACTTAGAGATTATAGTAACTTCTTAATAAGTGGTTTACTACAACGTTATGGTAAATATCCCATGCATATATATATATACACATATATATATATATATATATATATATGTATATATACATACATATATATATATGGAGAGTATATTGAAAGAGTCATGATAAAATAAGTTATTCTATAGCCACCTCCATTTATTTATAATTTTATATACTAAATTACTTATAATATTAATACATATTTACGATAGTTGGATTACTATAACACATGGGGATATTTACCATAACGTTATAGTAAATCACTTAGCAAGGAGTTACTATAATTTCGTAAATTAATATAGTAATTATCGTAACTCAAAGTGGCTATGTAATATATATTATAGTAGTAATAGGTTGACCGCTGACATCTAGTGTCTAGATGATAATAATGCTTCACTCAGGGCATCCATCCGTCCCCACGGCTTCTTCCTTAAAAAAATATAACTGGCGCCCTGCTTTCACGTTGGCTGCATTTAAAGTAGGTGAAAAATGTATGTTTCAAGTGTTTCAGATGTTTCATAGGTATATGTTGCAAATGTTTTACGTGGATGTTCCAAAAGTACACCGATATGTTGCATATGTTGCAATCGTTGTACACGTATGTTGCAAGCTTCTCTTCCGAATGTTTCATCTGTTTTCCAGACGTATGTTGTAAGTGTGTTTATTTGGATGTTGCATATGATGTTACAAGTGTTTTATCTGGATATTGCATATGTTTTTTGCAACTATTTCAAGTGTTTTTCATGTGTTTTTTCAAGCGTTTTAGATGCATGTTTTAAGTGTTTCATTTGCCTTCAGATGTATGCTGTAAGTGTTTCATCTGAATGTTTTAAAAGTTGATCAGGTGTTGCATCTCTCTCCCCGCCTTCGTTGTCTCGCCTCCTGTCTCCTCCTCCTCCCGATGTCGGCGTTGGCATCCGCCCTCCCTCTTCTCGATGTTGGTGACGTTCGAGGCGACGCGGCTCGCGCTGGCGGTGAAACGGTGTGGGAAAATATCGCAAGTGCGGGCTTCCGAACGCCTGCCTCATCCGGACGTTAGCGCTTAGCAAGCCCGATATAAGAATGATGATGTTTTAAATACTAATAACTAGAAATCATGTCCGTATTCTACTATAGAAAGGTTAATCAGCAGGTTCTAAATCCCCCTTAACCGCCGGTTATAGTCGTCGTTGGTGGAAGTCGCCAGTGATGGCCTCTATTATCATCACCAGTTCAAAATCGTCGGTGGTATTATTCATCACCGCGGGATCGGAGTTGTGATGCAGGTTCTAAATCTCCCATTCACCTCCAGTTGTTACCATCATCGCCGCTGTCGGGTTCGACCGACGACAATCGGTGGAATACCACCGCTAGTTTGGCGATCGGTCTTGGCGGTGATGATAAATCAACATCGATCCGCCTTTATGATCCGGCGTTGATGTAGGTACCAAAGATAGCCATTCGGCGTTCGACGACAAGTGTCGATAGCGACATCAACGTTGATATGGTGTACTACCCGCTGACGATGTCTTGTCCATCACCGACACGCTTGGGTTTCATCTGGGTGATGTCTTATCTATCGCCACCGTGCTTTACTTTGATCCAGCGTTGATGTCTTGTCCATCACCACCGATGCGACATTTTTCGGCGTTGTTGTCACTATCATCACCGCCGGTTGTTTCCGTATCACCAACGATTTGGATAGGCCAGCAATGATATTGTATTTTCATAATACAATTGTAGTATCATAATAATGATACAAAAAGTGTTTGGATTATATATTTTTTAGAGTTTTAGGTCCAGACCCCCGTCTTTCATCATTAGAACAAAGACAAGGTCAAACATTATTACAGCATAATAGGTGGCATTCCACCTGAGAATCTTGAGTAACCCGCTTAGAACATCGGTGAGGATTTAAACCAACTCCCTCTCCACAACTCACATAAGCAAACCAACCCTCTCCAGAACTTACAAAAACAGCACTAAACACACACACATCAACACCGACTAGATCTTCAGCGGCACCCTCCAGCCGTGAGGTAAAGTCTTGAGGATGTCTTCATTGAAGTCAGCACGGACGCCCATCATAGAACCAGCAAACTGATTCTTCGCCGTCACCCAGCCGGGAAGCCACGACATTATCCTCGCTATGCCTTGAGCTCGACAATTACTTTCCCTCAGTCGATCCTGCTTTTTCCACTGGACACAAAATTATCCAATTTTGTGCCATACCACTGATCATCCTGGTAGAATATCTCCATACTCTTCCAGTCATAACTCTGAAAACAAAGGTTGTTTCTTACCTTCAAATACTCCACAAAGCCGCTGCAGTAATAATATTTGTAACACCATGTTTCCTAGCAGACAGCCAAAATTTTCCAATCTCATCTAAGGAACCTCCTACATTAACTTTCAGAATAAAGTGAAGGCGTAATGCCAATCGACTTAGATTATGTTTACACAGGATTACAAATATATAGAGCCTTAGCCTCGAAGGTAGGGGCTAAGCCCACATAGGGTGGCGATATAAAGAGTAATTAGGAGTAACTAACACAATAACCAAGGAGACACTATGGTAATCTAAACCCCCTCTTAGTCGGAACGTCGCTAGAGCGGACATCTGCATCGAACGAAATTTTGAAACACGTAAGAAGGAAGACCCTTGGTGAAGACATCAACCGGGAGGTGGTGGGCACATGAAGCACACGGACAAGCACCAATGGCAACGCTGCTCGGACGTAAATGGAGGTCAATTTCCACATGCTTGGTGCGTTGATGTTGTGGCTGTGGTTGGTGCAGAGGTAGACGGCGCCGACGTTGTCGTAGTAGACGATGCAAAGCGGAGTCGAGTGGGTGGTGTAGTTCCTGGAGAAGCTGCCGCAACCAAGAAGCTTTCAATGACGCTGCTATAATAAAGATGGTATCACGCCTCAGAGCTAGAGCGAGAGAGACAAGGCTGTCGCTTAGAAGACCAGAGACAAGGTGCCACCCAGAATACAAAGATAACTAGAGGTGGATCGGCGAGTGTCCCAAGCAGCCACCCGCCAAGATCGCAGTAGACGACGAGCTATGGTCGGAGAAGTCCGAGGAATAATGAGACCATGATCAAGAGTACCTAGAGATAGTGGAGGATCCGCTTGGCAAGAACAAAGTGAACCTCCCCGAGGATCGCGGCATGTGAAGTCAAACTTGTTTGGACGGCATAAGCAAGGTCGGGCCGGTGAAGGTCAAGCATCAAGAGCTCCCACAAGGCTACGGGAGGTCATGGGATCAAGAACAGGAGGACCATCATCGCAGTAAGCCTTGGCGCAGTATCAGGGTGGAGCATGGTTTGCAGCACTCATGCCATGGCGAGCCAGGATGTCCAGAGCATATTGGTGCTGGGAGAGAAATAAAGTGTCACCCTGTCGTTGGACCGCCATGCCAAGGAAATGGTGAAGTGGGCCAAGATCCTTCATGGCTAATTCTTCATCGAGCATCAATGACCCCAAGGAGCTGGCTGGGAGGAGGCAAGGAGCACAATGTCATCCACATAGAGCAAAGAAATAAATGGTCTATGTACCACGACGGTAAACAAAGAGAGATGTATCTCGATCTTGCTTCAAAGGAAACCTGTGGAGAGCAGAATGAAGCAAAACGGCAGCATTCATGTAACGGGGCTTGCTTCAAGCCATAGAGAGATTTGTTGAGCCCGCAGATGCCGAGGAAGAGCTGAGTTGGTGAACCCTCGTTGGCTGAGAGCAAAGACATCGCTTTTGGAAAGAGTCCCATGGAGAAAAGCATTTTGACATCTAGTTGATGAATTGGCCTGGCCCCGTGAATGAGCCAAAGTGAGGACTGTATGGTCAGTTGCAGGTGTTTGACAACGGGCTGGAATGTTTCATCGTAGTCAATACCGGACGCTGCTGTAAAGCCGCCAAGAACCCAACGAGCCTTGTATCTGCCCAATGAGCTATCAAGATGAAATTTATGTTTGAAAATCCACTTGCTCGTGACCACGTTGGCAATTTTGTCGTATGAGGAACAAGGTTCCAAGTGTGATTTTCCATGAGAGCAAAGATATTCATCTTCCATGGCGCGATGACAAGGAGGATCAGCAAAGGCGCCGTGGCAAGACCGGGGAATCGGGGATGAGCCTCGGGCGTGGAGATGGAGGGCTGGTCAGTATGTCAGATTTCCCACGGGTCATCATGCCATGAGTATTGTCGACCGGTGGATGGGGACAACACCAACGGGTGACGTGGAGGATCAACTTTGATGAACCGTGGTGGAGATGGGATGATGTTGAGCGGGCGAGGAGGAGCGACATACAATGGTGGTGGTGTCGGCGGTGAAGGAGGAGTAGCTGGTGAAGGCCGCTTAGGAGTAGACGTTGAAACATGAAGCAGTGTGGGCCATTGTGGGGCGCATGGGGTTGCTGCCAGAGGCAAAGACAGGGGGTGCTGGGGCCGAGGCAATGCCGAGGCAAAGATATAGGTGTCAGCTGGTGCCGATGGGGAGCACACCGGGAGGCGAATTGAAGGCACCGCTAGGATCAAGTTGTTACACGGGCGGGCGTGCATGAGGCACGAGAAACCCCGTGGAGGAGGCCGGACGCCTGGCCCAGCCGAGCCGAGGGGCTGAGCAATCAATGAGGTGTCGCCAGTAACTCGGACGCAGCCTCGGGCAGAAGACGGTTCGCAAAGGGGCGTCGACAGGCCGCACAGATGTACTTGCAGAAGGTGAAAGAGCTGGTAGAGGCTCATCATTAGTTAGAAAATCAAGCTCTTCGAGAGGTGAGGTCCGATGTCTAGAGAAAGTAAAAAGTCATCTCTGTCGAAGATGACATGACGCAGAGATGATGACAC